CAAGAGTACTAATACACTGGGGGGTCAACACAGGGTCAAGTTACAGCCGGCCAGCCCTACTGGAGACTCACTCCCACCTCTGGTGATGCTTGTGGGTTTTGTTTCAAAGCAGCCCCAACACTTGCTTCCTCTCAGAGGCCTGAGATCCGGCACAGAGACAGAAAACGTGGCCCAGGTCGTGACTCTATGCCGACCGCGGTGAGAGATCAAAGTCAGGCGTGAACTGTGGGGCCACCTCAGGGTGAAGAGCAGCGCTTCGCTTTAGGGATTTACGTTACGCACTTGAGGAATCATCTACACGATGTACCAAACACTGGTGCATATGGCAGCCTTCCAAAAATTAGAGGGTATTACAGGGTAATATTCTTGTACCATTTAATTATTTTACCAGAGAGATGACATTTTATAAGGTCTTTTTAAGTGTACAGTACTGCACTTCTGCTATCAAGCCTTTAAAAAATGATGCATGTAAACCAGAGGAATCTATTGTACTTCATGATTTATTGTGTTTTTTCTGCAGGGAAGCCCTTTACATTGCAGTGGCTGGTGTGACGTGTCACCTTTGGTTCCTCCTGGGATTTGCCCCTGATGACAGGAACCCTAATAATAAGTAATTAATAAATATGGGTGGATATGTGGGGATTGGTTAACTTGTTAAAGTCCTTTGCTGGGTTTTCCTGGTCACACAAATAGCTCTTCCAGAGCAAATGCTGACATCACACCAATATTTCACCCTCTGAATTCAGGAGCGCCTCTGACTGTTTCGCTTAAGGACAAACAGTTTGACCCTCATCCTGAATAGCGAAAGCGGAAATAGATCGACAGGCGGCACGATGCATCGTTTGCCGGCACACTTGAAATTTCACGCGGTATAAGATGCTCCAGAAATGATGTGAGTGGGAATATTTTTTTTTTTTTTACCCGTGAATGAAAGATGTTACGTAACAGTCACCTAACCCCTCGCTGCGGTTTGTACAAGCACACAGTGAGATGATGAGAACGCAATCAGAATTTGAGGAGACTAACAAATGTCAAAGATGCTATATTTATAGTGACTCGAAAGCTATTGGGCTTAAATACACAACACTAAGCTGATAGAATTCACGTTCAGCCAATCAGCTTTAGCCACTTCTGCTGTTAAGGATTGTGGGGAGGCCTGGAGTCTAAAACTGCCAACCCTGATAACTGGACCTGTCGTTATAACAATGGCATTTTATTGAAATTCAACTTACTCATGCTATTGTACTCTCCCTGACACACATGCAGGTAAGAGTAAGCTTGGTAGTGAAGGGCAGCCACCTGCAGCAATACCCATGGAGTTATGGGTTTAGGGCCTCACTCAAGGGCCCACGGACGTAGCTATACTGCCAAGGCTGGGCTTGTATTGGCAACCTTCTGGTCTGAGGTACGGAGGCTTAGCCTGCGGAGCCACACACAGCCACACATAGCCCCCTTACTGTTATGCTTGCCAGCTAAATGGTACTTTAGTGTGACTGAATGGCGCATCTTTCTTTAGCACCCCCCCCGCTCCCCACGCTACACAATGAGTGCTCATTTTACAAGGGGAAGTGAACACAATGGAGCCAAATAGATTCGCAAAAAGGCCTTGGGGAAATTGCTAACATTGGGGGGTCTTACTTCAAAACCTCTCAATTAAAGTCAGCACCCACCGAACCTCCCCAGCAAGCACAATGGACTGTTCGGCTCCATTCAGTGAAAGCCCATGCTCTACTCTCTGCCTTGTATTAAGGCTCCTACCACTTAAATCAGGCCATATTCCGAAGTTTGGCACCAGATCAAGTGCTACCACCAAGGGCTACCAGTAATTGAACATGAGCACAGCTGCAATACCTCCTTGGTGCCCTTAGAGGGCGCCGATGCCAGCAGGCCTTCCTGGGCAGTGTGAAGTTAAAATATAACTGCTTAAAGGCCATTGAAGCTGGTACTATTATGTAACTGAGGGCCAAGGCTTTCCCAGCACTTTGATGAGAGGACAGCCCATCTAGAGTCCCTGCTGAAACAGCTTTCCATTCAGTCTAGCTCTCTGCCGTAGGACAAGGACTTGCTGAGGATCACTTTGGGACTATGATATGGAATGTTTGATATAACACCATGTATCTCCCATGATGCCTTTCTCCTGCAGTCATGAGCCCACTAGAGGTTCTACTTCATAAATCACAAACCACAAAAAAAAAATCATCCCTGACACAAGCCCAGTTAAGGCCCACTGTATTTCATATATTTCATATTATTTATTGATATTTGCATAACAGAGTGGATCCGTGCTACCTACATTTTCTGTACCATTGTTCCGATGAACATTGGTGAATGAGTGATAATGTTCTGATAGGCTTACAGGTTTATTTTCCATTGTTCACTCCTAGATGCTGTACTCAGGCACACACTGCATCACCTTGCAGACACACCGCTAAGGCCAGCATAATAGCCTGATGCTAGTTACATACCCTGCTGGGAAGAAGATGATTTTGTCAATGGTTTGTGAAGGTCAGCACATGCTCGAACCAGAGTGAGAACGAGGGCCAAAATCCTAAACAGTTCAGTATCTCCCAGATAGATACTGTAAGTCTGTTCTTATAGCTTTCAGTGAAACGCAGACCCTGTGTAACTTCACATGAATGCAAGACATGCTTGGAATAAAAGTAAAGTGAGAAAAACTGACCAGCAGGAGGCAGTGTGAAATGGGCCTCATGGAAAGTCACATTCCCTTAGGGCCATGGTTGCTCCTTTGACCTACCCAGGTAATTTGGCTCACTGACCCCTGCTGTCCAAATGAGGCCCGGCCGTTTTATGGTGCTATAAAAAGGTCAGACCACATCCAGTGCTCATCAGGTCCTGTGCCGGCTACACTGGGTCTAAGTGACTGTAATGGAGAGCTGCAGTGGCTATGCTGTGAGTAAAAATCCACTGCATTGTGCTGGGGGGAGGGGAGGGGAGGGGGTGAATAATATAATATGTCGGGGACTTGTTATGACCCTAAAAATGTGAATGACAGCCTACTGAGTGTCAGAGTGACTGTATGATTAACATACTTTGAGACTCTAGCTAACGAACACGCATGAATGTAAATACAACAGTATTTTAATGTTAGTAGGTTACACACAATTATAATCCAAATCCCCTTCATTCTAATTCAATATATTCAGTGCACAGACATGTTAAGGTAATTATTGGCTAATCAATGCATAGTGAAATATGCTAGCAGGTAGTTAAGTGTAGTGAGCTCATATGATGGTACTGTAAAATAACAAGTAAAAACCCACAAAACGAGTCATTTTTAAAACTACCAGTTTCTCGTTTCATTCTTGCAGTCCAGTTGTGAGAAAAATGACCGGACGTCAACACTGAATTAAAGAAACAGCACTGAAGGCTAGTTTACAGGGTGTAACGCCTATTTCTCTACCCATCCATCCATTTTCTATGCCCGCTTGTAATAATTTATGAAGATGTTTAATATGCCAGTGAGCCAAGATAATTAAACAAGCAACACGTACGCTGTCACACTATTCGGTTCTGGACTAACTCCGGTCCGTTTGCGTAAATGCTGAACCTTACAGGCGCCATGGAAGCTATAAGGGTATTTTACACACTATGTCAATATGAATACTGTGTTTCCGAAAGCAGCGGTCGTTGATTTTGTGCAGACCTGCCACCCGTCGCCGGTCCACATCAAACCCACGGGGGTTTTTATGTTACATCCTCCTTCTACTGTACTTCATCACCAATAAAATGCACATTAAACAAATTTGTATGGGCAAGACGCATTCAACAGTTAGATTCTCCCGCCTGATATATCTACCAGTATTCATATCGTATTTAAAGTGTGTATACACTACAGTTTTAACGGATTACAATTAACAAGCATTAGTTTACGTTAGAAAGAAGTAGAAATATATATTTATAAAAAAACATATTGTGCAAATGAGGAAAAAGAGTATAATTGTACAACCCGCAACTCACATTACATGTGGCTGCGCATCTAAACCGAACATCTTAAAACTGTTAATAAGCTAATAATGCAAAGGCGATAGACGGCAGTTCACTAAATGAGGGTGTAATTGCAACATGTCAGTCATGTTACAATGTTTCAAATCAATTAAGGAACGGAGCCGCCCGGTCCGGCACAGCGCAGGCATGTGGAGAAGCTCTGAGCCCGGAGTAAAGCTCGCTGCACTGTCCTCTGCATGTGGGTCCCCCATCAGCACATTTATCTTCATGAAACATTACGCGAAGAAATAACTAATCATGGACAGCTATCGCCCTGCCACGGCCACTGGAGAACGTCAGTATGGACATAAGAGAATATTATTAATGTTAAACAATCACTGGGTGCTGATTCTGTGTATATAATCTATTATATTATATATCATCGGACAATAACAATTATTATTAGTATTCATGTAAGCAATCTAAAGGTGCACACAAGCTTCCGAAGTAGACACTGATTTAAGTATAATAACGGTCCTTCAAATGTCTGGTATATCGCAATATAGCGAGAAAAAACGTGCAATTGAAGGACGCTGGTACTATAAATTAAATGAGAAGGCATGCATTCTGCTATTTGCAAGTTATTGTAAATTCAAAGCAATACTGAACTGCGTATTCTTAAATATGCAAAAGTACAATGGACATGCTTGTGTTTATTTCCCCAGATTCCCACATCTGATTAAGCATCGCGAATTTGAGCTGACGGTCGTTTGTAAGGCACAGGATTAAATCACAATGATGGGACGTAAAGTTTAGCTTGGTTATTATCCGATATAGTGACAGTTAGGCTGTTCGGATTTTCGCGCATTTAACATCAGAAGAATAGCAGTTCACAGCCAAAGTCGTGTGGTATTACCTAGTAGGTGCGCTGAACCAGATCGCTTTTTGGTAGAAGACGTGATAGATCAAATACAGATTTACCTAGTTCAAAAGCACATTGGTGTCCCCTGGACAATCTTTCCCTAAATATCCATATATGTTTAGGAACTACTCACCAATGAAGATCAGCTGAAACAGGTAAATCCCCACAACGTCCATTCTGAAGTGCGCAATTAAATACAAACAATCCCAAACGATGTGGATGCTTATGTCGTTTCTGTTCTTCAAATTGCAAAAAAAAAAATACAAGTAATTGACGAGCCGTTTTAGATTATCTTTCCGCAAAGATATAGTCCACAATCCCAAAGATGCGTTTCCAAACCGAACTATTTAGGATCATGAGCTGTCCTGTTTGTCGGCGAAGTCTGAGACTTATATAACCCTCGTAAAATAGGCTAGATAAAACCTGGAATATCTGCAAATTATAAGAGGGAGCGGATCGAGATTAATTTTCTTACAATGAGGAATAATTACAAGCAAAGCATTTAGAATAAAATGATCATATATACATATGTTAAAAAGTCAAAAGTTTATATTACGGAATAAGCCTCTTTTCCCTCCAGCCAGGATATGTTTTTGTGGGTAAAGTTTAACGTCCTCACGGCTTTAATGTAGAGATATCGAGGTGATGTCCCGAATGCAATAGTTTGGTACTGATGCGCTGGTCCTCTTGCGTCGCCCCGGCGTCTCCGTGAGCTCAGCCGTGTCCAGCTGCAGTAAAAGCGCCTCGCAGCCCCCGCCGACGGCTGAGAGTGACGGAGGCAGAGCGCCTGGAGAGCGAGTCTGGCGTGATGGAGGAGCGGGGCAGTGTGTTTAAGTGCTGCCAGTAAATTGCATGCATTACGCTGACATTAACAATAACTACAGTTTCATTTCATGTTAAGTTAGGTAGGTAAATATTTTCCCCTCTCCATCCACTGTAGTTCACGTTTCTCTGGTGCAGTGTTGGGATTCCACATATGTTAATTGCCCCCTTGTACATTTGACAGCGAAAAAGTCATTCTTTTCGTATTATGAGACATCTTTCAGAAAAATCGTGTTAAATTTGTCACATGGAAGCTGAAACTGATTTGCAGTTTCTTTGTGGGTATTGCTAGTTTGCTGGTTGATTTAAATTGATGCACTTCTGGAACATTAACATATTGATTCCACTCAATCTGCGATCCAAAGTCACGCTCCAAAGCATCTTTCACGCTTTACGCCGCTTAATTACATAGCATTAACAACGGCACCTTAACATCCACTGTATTTCAGAGTAATATTTGGAAGAACCTGGATTTCAGCTGCTTTACTCAAAAATTATGGAAAGTAAAAGCCTGTGTTTCCCTAAGCTATAGCCTTTGTTTCGATGTCACAATCAGTACTCTATTGTGTAACACGGCCCCAATATACATCAACACAAACACAGTCAATGTACCATTGAGCCCCCCCCCCCCCCCCTCAATTGCTCCTCAAAATATTCTCTTTTCCTCTCAGAATTTTAAGTGAATTAGAATGGTCACGGTGCACCAAAGTTTAAACAGCAGTTCACATCCCACGCTGCACTGGCTAATAGTTCTCCCATGTCCCTTGTGGAAATATTTACCCCAGTTTGGCCTCCAGACACATGTGACATGAACATTCCAGGGTTCCTGCTGTACCCCTGGAAAAATGATTGCCCCGGTCTGCCCTGTAGACAGAAATCAGTGGCATAAAGTTGCAAAGGCCAATAGTCTGAACCAGTCTAGTGCCTAAAGTGAGGTTTTAAGAGGAGGTGACTATGCAAGGAGACCTGTCCTCATTTAGAAACACAAACTGATGTATATAAGTTATGAAAATGGTCTTGGGCAGGTTTTCTGTGTAGGGACAGGGCTACACACCGGAAGAAGCTTCAGAGTTTCAGCACTGAACAGCGAGATCCCAAGAATATTATCGGATGTGTAAAAGATCCCACAGTCCCCAGCAAGGAAGCTCGCGTCTCTCTGCTGGAACATAAATATCACCTCACAGCGGTGCAGCCCATCTAACGCTGGGCGTAAAGTTTATTTACGGGCTGGGGCCAAGCCGGCACTTCCGAGTGCTGCCACACACACACACACACACACACACACACACACACACACGCACGTTGGATAAACATATCTTTATGGGGATCGCTCATTGATTTCTATGGGAAAAATGCTAATGCTAACTATGGCAACCTTAACCCCTACCCAACCATAACCATATCCATAAGTAACCAAGCAAAATACAAGTTTTTGCATTTTTCGTTTTTTCATTGCGGTCACA